CGTGTCATAGGTTCGCCATCACTGCCCTAGACATTAGTATAAAACATGAAGCAAGGACTGGGTAGTCCTGCCTTAGCATATCCTGTGCCTGATGCACATGCAGAAAAGGTGCTTCAGGTAGCAGCACCAGGGAGCTGGCTACAAATGCAGGGTCTCGGGCCTGGCCCCGGACCTCCGGGATCAGTCTCTGAAGGTGGGTCCCAGGAACCTGTGATTTTTATACCTGCTGAAGTTTGAGAAGCACTGGTAGAAGGAATGCCCAGGTCACTACTGGGTTCATTCGAAAAGGACAGAGGGCAGCACAGTCAGGGTGGGTTCATGAGTCAAATGTGTCCAAGTATCAGTTGCTGTTGGTAATACTGGGAGTGACAGTTACCTGACCTAGGTCTGAGGGTGTGCAGAAAAACAAAACAATCAAATTAAAAAATGGGCAAAGGACCTGAATAGACACTGCTCCAAAGAGGACATGCAGGTGGCTAACAGACATATGAAAAAATGCTCAAAGTCACTAATCATCAGAGAGATGCAAATTAAAACCACAGTAAGGTATCACCTCACACCTGTCAGAAAGGCTATCATCATTAAATCCACAAACAACAAGTGTTGACAAGGATGTGGGGAAAAGGATGCCCTTGTGCACTGTTGGTGGGAATGCAGATTTGTGCAGCCACTATGGAAAGCAGTATGGAGTTTCCTCAAAAAAATGAAAACGGAACAGCTTTTTAAAATTGACACTCCCATGGCAATTCTCCAAAGGAGAGTGGCCTTCCATTCAGGCCCCTGTACTTATCAGGCTTCTCAGGACTAAGGAGATGTCAGCATATAGTCCAACTTGGCTGAGTCACAGGACATATGACTCTGTTCTTTACCACAACATGGAACAGGTCTACCATAGGCCCTCGGCTCGGAATAAAAAAGCCGAGCTCACTGTTATTCACTATCTACCGGAAGCTTCACTGAGAGAAACAAATTTTGGGAGATTATCCCTCCCTCTAGGACTAAGCTAAGCCCCTAGGAGCTGCAGGTGGGACCATCTTGTTTTGCCCAGCCTCCTTCAGGGCAGTGGCTTTTCTGCACTAACTCCTGGCTGGGCACCCTGGCCCCCACTGCAGGCACTAAGGAAAAGCCTTGTGAGTATTGCTGTAGTTATAGAGGTATGGTTGATGGTTGGCTGTTGACAACACTAAGAACATGAGAAGGTGTGGGAACACTACTCCAGGACTCAGAACCAGGGATGCTTGTGCATCTAGAACATGTTTATTTTTACCTCACAGACTCTAAATCATATAATTGATGATCTTCCATTTTGCTTTTGCTGCTATAAAACTCACATTTGGGGCTTATTTCTGGAATCACATTGTCCAAGAGAACTTTCTTTCATGATGGAAATTTTCTGTATTTGTGTTATCCAATATGGTAGCCAGTAGCCACATGCAGCTACTGAGTACTTAAAATGTGACTACTGAATTTTAAATTTTATTTAATTTTAATTAACTTAAAATTTAAATTTAAATGGCCACACATGGCTAGTGACTACCAACTTACAGCACAGCCTTAGACAGTATATAGAAAATCACATGCATTTTGGATGTCACACTTGGTTTATCTTACTTTCCTATCAATATTTTCCTCTACTTCAAATCCCTTGGGTATCTAATAATATTTACTAAACTTATTGTGTGGTTTATATCTTTGTCAGCCATCTTAAGTTTTGTTTTAAAAATGTGAGATCTGACCTAACTGGTTTGGCTCAGTGGATAGAGCGTCGGCCTGCAGACTCAAGGGTCCCAGGTTCGATTCCGGTCGAGGGCATGTACCTTGGCTGCAGGCACATCCCCAGTAGGGGGCGGGGAGGCAGCTGATCGATGTTTCTCTCTCACTGATGTTTCTAACTCTCTATCCCTCTCCCTTCCTCTCTGTAAAAAAATCAATAAAGTATTAAAAAAAATAAAAATGTGAGATCTACCTACAAGTACAAAAAAATTAAAACATACCCATATTCCCAACTTTTTAGATTAGGTACTTCTCCCCACCTTTAATGAAACATATAGTAATATGTTCATTTAAGGCAGGGGTGAGGAACCTTTTTTCTGCCAAGGGCACCTTGGATATTCATATCATCATTCGCCAGGTATGCAAAATTATCAACTTAAAAATTAGCCTGCTACATTTGATCAAACATTTAATTAACTCACCCCTAATGCCTTGGCAGGGCCAGACCAAATGATTTCCAGGGCCTTATATGGCCCCCAGGCTGGATATATCCCACCCCTGATTTAAGGGAAGGGAGTCCCAGGAGTGTCTCTGTTTCTGTGTCTGTTCTGTTTCTTCATCTGGATTCTGCTCACACAAATGTTCAATTTGTGAAAATTCACTGAGCTGTATATTTATGATATGTACACTTTCTATATGATATAATTTATATTACCCTTCAATAAAAAGTAAAGAAAAACATATAGAGAGAACCGATTATGTTTATAGTCAATGTTATTTTAGTTCGAGGAGATGTGGATTCACAAACACAGACCTTGATTCCAGAAAACTACAGTTTAGTATTAACGCAAATTTCTAAGATGCCTTTTTCAGAGGGATCTCAGACAACTTCTGATACCACCTCCTGCCTATTCCTCTGAACTAGCAATGCCAAGAAAGATGGGGAGATGAGTTTCAGGAGTAGGAAGGCTTACTTTCTATCTTATCATATCTCAGTAAAAAACATTTCCAAATTCTTATAAGAGAGTGAGTAGCTCCCAGAAAAGAACCTCTCAGCTTTTCTCCTCCAGGGGAATTAAATGGGAGGAAGAGGTCTCTGAAATATGGAATGTTAAATCAGTGAGGCAGAATGAGGAAATGAAATACAATTTATACCTTGAGAAATTAAAAACTACCCAACAAATATTTTTCTTCAATGTATAATTCTACCCAATCAAACAAAAGCATTTAATTAAAATTATAGTTAAACATGGAATTTGGGAAATATATACATTAATGAAAATGTAGATAAAAATGAGCTCTCTCAACTTCACCCCTCCCCCATGATCTAAATATCTTAATTTTGCTAAAGACTGAAACATAAATTTTTACTTTAAAAAGTTACTTAAAGAGATGGGCAGGTGTGGATCTCATGCAAGAGCAGAAGGTTGCTTTCTGTAGTGATGGAGTAACAGCAACCTGTTCAATGGCCATAATCAAAATTTATGAGGGGGCTATTAGTCATTTCTGCCCATATTAATTTAACTCCTTGATATACTACTATTTTGAATAAAGACCTGCATTCCTGCGGCCCAAGATACAAATCTTTTTTCTTACTCTTTTCACACTCGGATGCTGTAACTTCAAAAGCCTGTACCTGTATAGATTTTATTACCATTTAAATGTGTGGATCCTCTTTGAGATATTTTTTCAATGGTTCCTTTGAGCAGAGTCTGGGCCAAGCTTCCACACTTTGTTCTTTCACTTACGTTATTATAAGGATCAAGGGGAAAAAATATCCTAATGATTATAAAAAGGAAGAGGTCCTTCAGAAACAATCACATTCATTTTGTTGGTTTTTTTGTTTTTTTGTTTTGTTTTGTGTATTTTTTTTGGTATAAGCAAAACTTTTCTTTAACTTTCTTTAACTTTTACTTATTCAACTGCATTATATTTTGCATAAAGAACTGGCAGTCTTCAAACCAGAAGAAAAATTTGTCTCACTTTCAAAAGGGATTATAGAGAAAATATTAGCCAGCTTTTAGTTCACTGAATAAAAGAGCAATATTATTTACTTATCTGTACAGTTCAAAGGAAATTCTGAAACTTCTCTATTTTCTATAAATAGTAACTATCTCAAGGTGACCTTTCCGACTTGAGCAATGGTGTCCTGGCTGTTGTTTGAGTCAGTTGTCTGACACATGCCAAGTTCTCACTTCATTTTGTGATATGCAGATTACAGTTCTGATGTTTAATACCAAAACCAACAAAAACTGAAACGTTTCCTGTGATTCAAGTAACTACAAACAGCACCTTTTAAGACAATGGCCCCTAATTCGATATCAACTTTCTTCTTTCAGGTAACCAAAAGTGAAAACTGAGACAGAAGAGGATTTTCAGAAAAACGAATTCCTATATTCCTTGAACTGATGTACATGTTAATTCAAGAAAGTCTAGGTTTGGAAAGCATTTCTCAGGCAGGGCCAGGTGTAGGACATGCTTAAATCTATATGTTGAATTTTGAATTCTAGAGTGTAATTAGTGATCTTGAAAGAGCGTTGGACACCCATTGGAAGGTTGAGAGGAGAAAGGGGTCCAGTAACTGAGCAAAGACATAGGCCATGGAAGGAACAGAATAGTCTACTGCATCCATTTCCTTAAAAGGTATTCACTCATTCTTTCCCAAGCGTAATGAAACCACAAGGTCCAAAGGCATCAGTTACTCATTGAAATGTTTATGAGAAAGTCATTTTTCAAGTGATCACTGAATTTTAACAACCTACTGCCCAGCAGTGGAAGGGTAGGAGAGGTGGCACCACAGTGAAGAAGAAAACAGGTATCATCTCTATTGAATGTAACATATTTCACAATACATGGGTTTTCCTTAAGTTCCTTTGTGGGACTGAAGAATACACTGATAAAACTCCCTAAATGTGAGGAGTAGATTCAGGAATCTTTACTAACAAGGTCCCTGGGATACAAGCTCATCTGAAATCCCCAGGAGCCACAGCACTTAGTGGGCGCTCAAACGCAGGTGGGTGAAGCGGCAGGGCAGGAATTGGCATTGCTTGCCTGTGCACATGGCCATACAGTAAAACGAAAAGAACCAACAGAAAGAGCCCTCCTCTTGCTTAGGTATTGTATGAGCTCCTTGACACAGTCTGAGGCCAGACAGAGGGTCACTGATCCCTCCTGTTTCTTAACTCCTGGCTCTGTAACAGGGAGGGTTTCTGGCACAGCTGACCCTCTTTTTCTCTGTGCGGCTCACACAGACAGGGAGACAGACAGACAGACTTCCCCCGCGGTACCTGCAGAAGGACCTTGTTCCCGTCGTGGTCCTCCGTCTGCCAACGCCCCTCACTGATGGGGCTGCAGGGGTTGGGCAAGAGGGGCACGAGCTCGCCGATGTCCTTGACTCGGAACTCCAGCACCGAGTTATCGGTGGGGACGGGGTTCTGGTCACAGGGCAGCCTCTTGAGGGAGAACTGGATGTCCACATCCAGGCTGGAGAAAACGGGGAAGATGCAGAAGTCGGTCTTCCTTTGGCTGGGGCTCCGCCGGAGGATCAGCTCATAGAACTTGAGGATGTCGGCGTAGTTGTCATGGCGGCAGTAGATGGTGAAGCGCACGATCTCCCTGCCGTAGTGCACGGGCCGGATGGCCCACAGCGGAGTCCCGGGCGCCAGCATGAAGAAGTCCTGGCTGCAGGGCAGGTAGGGCAGGAGCCTGCCG